TCCTGCTGATGTGTTATTGAGCTGTTAGCATCCTATGCTTAGGATAAAGTGTATCTTACACAGTAACCTCCCCAGGTGGGTTGTTGTTTATAGCATCTGTGATTTTGTGTCTCAGTCCAACACTCTATGTTTCTCCCAGCAGCAGTAAGTTATTATAAAGTTTCCTATCTTATATGTTTGCCAGTGGTGAAAACATAGGTGAACTGTGTGTAGGTCTTTACCTGAAGTTCCTGAAGTGACAAAAATCTCACTGTGGTTCAGGTGCTCTCTGGGTTTGGTGTGACTTTCTTAAACTAGAGAATTGTGCAGGGAGGTAATTTTTGTCACTTTCCTGGACTGCTCTGTTGCATTGCTCCCGCTGTGAGAATGTCAAGCACTCGCCCTCACGACTGGGACTCAGACTTTTCTCTCCCCAGCTGTCACCATGAAAATTAAGTGGCAGTCTAGCAGACTTTTAGTGTGCGATGGCTGCATGTGTCCTGAGTTATAGATGTGATCAAAAACAAGTTCTTTAAGTTTTACACCAGGACAGGCCTCAAAGCTTACACCCCAGCGTTGGGTAATGAAACTGCTTGTTAAATCTGACATGATGTGCTGGAGGAAATAACAAGTTCCAGCTGAGCCTGTTAGTGACGCTGACAACCTGCGCTTCTCGTAAATATAGAGGGAGACCTCAGGAAAATGTACTGTTCATGTACCTGCTGGTAAAAGTAGTGTTTTCAACCCACAAACCTGAAATAAATAATTTTCAGGTTATAATCAGTGCCACTGCATGTTCCCCCTGCATGGGTTCTCTCCAGGTACTCCAGCTTCCTCCCACAGTCCAAATACATGCATCTTATGTTGACTGGTGACTCTAAATTACCCTTATTGTGTGGGTGTCAGCCCTGTGATAGGCTGGCAACCCGTCCAGGGTGTACCCCACCTCTCGCCCAATGGTAGCTGGGATTGGCTCCAGTGACCTTAAGGATAAGTGGTATAGATAATGGATGGATGGATGGAATCAGTGCCACCAATTACTTGACTAGTCAGTGTGATCTACATTGCCAAAATAAGAATTTAGCCTGAAAACCATAGATTGGATTAAAATGAACCACTTCCAAAAAGCTTAGCTTAAAACTCTCAGTATTATTGCTAGAGCCAGTTAAAGGCTGTGATCATATGGTTGTTCAAGTATTCTGAGTGATGTGGCAGGTTAGAGGCGGGCAGAACGACAGTGTGCTGATAATTACATGAGGGACATACCTTAACTCTTCAGATTAAGAGCCATTCGTTATAGTGGTCCAGGGAAACATCCTGGAGCCGTTATTCTTTTTAATTATACATTTCTAATTAAAATGTCTCTGAGGCACTATTGTAGGTGAGATCAAGACCATGTGCACAAACACACCACAGCATGAGGTGTTTCTGCAAAAGTGTCAGTACAAACAAATGTGTCAGAAATGGCGCGTAATGCGGCCGAAAAGTGTTAGGTGAACTCAATTAAATGGCCAGACGAGGAAGTGTAAAACAAAACCGTCTCTTTATTGAGAACTAACGTTGAACAAAAGAAAACCATACAAGACACGGTGAAAACACAAAACTCACATGTCCTTAACAGTCCGAGATCAGAGCCAGCAAAAACATACATCCAGGGGAATCCAAAACGCGTTGTCCAAAGATAAATCCGTTAAGCAGCAGTCCGAAATAAGAGGGCAAGGCAGAACAGAATAATCCAAGGAAGCAGTCTGGGTCAGAAACACAAAAAGACCAATACCGAAGAGAATGCTGGAAAGTGGGCTCTAGAACAATCTGGCAGCGTCCTTGTGGGAGGACGCTGCCTAAATAGAGGTGTAAACAGGCGCAAACAATAACGAAGCAGGTGAAACTAATGTTGAGTGATGAAGAACGTAAAAAGACCGAAACTGAAGTGAAACAAAAACAGGAAGTAACGTCAAAATAAAAGCCGGACGGGAAGCAGCGGAAACGAATCATGACACAAATGGGTGCAAAGGATTTTTCTTTTACTTGTATCTACTCCAGGTACAGTATGTATCCTTTTCTCAGACATGTTGGTATCAAACCCCAGTGACGCAGCTTGCCGGAGTTCCAAATGTCAGTGGTAGTGTGAGGTATTATTAGTAAATGCAGTAGCTCATAGGTGGTACTATTACAGTAGGTGGCTATGGACGGCTCAAAATTGTTAGGCTTTTGCAAGTATTATGTTGAAACCTTGTATGAGTTACTTGATGAAAATGTTATTTTGGTGAGAGAGGCCAAGCAGGAGACACAGAAAACCCTGTATTTTCTGAACACAATGAAAACTGCAGGCAGTGCTAACCCATCTCCTGAACTCCTCCAACATCTGTGTGTTGTGGCGCCAAGCGTAGTGCATAACGTACACAGCTGGGAGGAGACGACCCAAGCGGAAGAAGGGTTATTCAGATAAAGCAGTGTAAAATTGGTGGTGTTTCTGACCAGAAGAACAGAACCATATCTCAGAACCATATCTTTCTGAACACCACTCCACTGGCATAGGTGGTTCTTACAGAAAATGCTGAAAAATAATGGAATGATGCTTAAAATATAACTACTTTAACCAAACATGGCAATCACAATTACATTTAAATCAAAATAAAAAGTAATGTAAAGGTTATAAAGTTGTAACACCAGCAAATCAGTCTCTGTAAATGAATAGGACTGATTCTTACAGTATTTGTTCACAGTTGTTTTATACTGTATGAAAGGTTTCTCCTTAAGTTCATCAGATTCCTGCAGCATCTGCAGGCAGCAGAACACATACGCTGATAAATCAGCAGCCTCTGATTTGACAAGTGCCGTGCCAGAGCGAGCGCAGTGCCATTATACACAACCGTCAACAGTGTTTACCTTGATCAAATCACATGTAACTGACTCTATGCTGCTACAAAATAACCACACACACCTCTACACACTTCAAACTGGTTGGTAAGAACTCGTCAATGCTGCTTGATATGCAGGTAATGTCAGATTGCTGGAGCTCATTAACACTGTGTGTTATTATTTCCTCTCCAGTTTTGCTGCTGTTTTTTTTCAGTTCATATTTTATCCTTGAAATACTTTAGTGCCAACACTGCTGTATCACATTACGGAATTACGATAGCAAAAGCTCTAAAAGCTACAGCATGTCATATTTTTCATGTATTTTTTCTACTATAAAAATACATTGACTGTATATAAAAGACCCATGTGGTGTGCCCAACTGGAGGTTGGGGTAGGATGTTCTATAGGGTTCATCCTCCAGGAAGCATGAGAACTACAGAACTACAGTCTGCCCAGTAATTAGATATTTCTAACTGTACAATAAGTGGAAAAACTGGAATTGGAAAGTCCAGAGGATCACAGAATTCATTAGGATTCATCCTTTGGGAAGCAGGAAAACCCACAGCAAATTTAATGGCAGTCTATCCAGTAGATGTTGAGATATTTAACTCAAACTATAAGGTTTAAGGTTGTTTAATAGAATCAGACTAAGACTGTGCTTCTGGCAAGAGGTAAATACCAACATATAATAAAATATCCCTCAGCTGGTATCTTTCAGTGGATGAGTATTTCCAATGGTAAAGCAGTGTTATGAGCTGCAGTGCAGAAGCAGTCTTTCAGTATCTGTGGTCAGTGTTTGTTCCAGAACTGTTGGATCACTGCAGGGACTGAGTGGGCTCAGTCCGTCTGTTCGCTCTGAATGGCAATGTATTCAGTGGGCCGCAGGGAAATGGCAGGGGTAAAGCTGTTCCCACTTAATTGGATGACAAATACGGCAAACATTATTGTAAACATCATGAAACGGATACCTTGACATTTTCAATTGTTGTATGGCTTCACTGTTGCAGACAACTGTCGGGTTGTTGAGGGGGAGAGTGGAGTTTCTCCATGAAACCTTACTGAACCAAAACATTTCTGTTCATAGTCAGAATCCCCTATTTTTGTATCCATGTTTTGGTGTATCCACATTCTTCAAACCCCATTTGGTGTACCTGCATTTTTCCCAGAATAGATTTTAAATCCCCCCAAGAAAATCGTGAAAATCTTTTTGCATTCACCTGGGTGTTTTAGATGAGACTAAAAAGGAAATGATCAATTAAAACTGTGTTACAATTGAAAACAATAATTAAGAATTACCCACTTATTCCAAAACTTTAACAGTCATAAGCATGATTTGATTTTTGACCTTGGGACCAGTAGTTTGACAAAGAAAAAAAAATCACATAATTCAAAGTCAAGTTAATGTAGCAAAGCATTTGTTCAGAACCAGGTGATCATATTCAGCTGCTTCATTCATGCTTCATTATCAGTGGCTCTTTCACCAGCTGTTTGGCTTCGAGTAAAGTCCAATCACATTCATGGCCATTGTAACTAACATAGTTTGCTGCTGCTCACTCCAGCCCCTCGGTCTCCTTGTGCACCAGTCTTTAGGACTGTTGATTTTATGTATGTTTACAGCTACCTCTTATTTTGTACCACTGTATGTTAGGCAGATATATTTTAAAAATAACCCTCATTGCTGCTCAGATTTTGGAGAACTTCATCAAGGACCAAAAGCTTTTCCAGCAAATCTAAGTATATAACCAGTAGCCATAAACAGTCACCTTCTTAATATGTCTCTGGCTTAGCCAAATTTTTCCAGACTTTTTAACTGGCTCTCATGGTCTTTATCAGTGGGTGGAGTTTGATAAGTTGTCAAGGAGTAAGCTCAGTAATCTAAATCAGAAGAATCCCAGTGGTGCTCTGGACTTTCCACAAACTATTCAACACCTTAAGAGCTCATCTTTTACACCCTAAAGATGGGAAACCTCTGAGAGGAAGCCCGTAGTGGTGTAGACCTTGGGCTACCATTTAGACCTAGAGCTCGGAGATGTGTTATGACAGCGGAGTTCTCACAAGGACAGAAGTACAAATATGAGTGTGTGTCTGAGAGGCCTACCTGCTTCATACGTTGTGGCGTGTGCGGTCATACTCCAGGTGCTGGATTTGCGTCCTTTGGTTACCATGACAGCAAACTCATACATGGTGTTTGGCTTGAGGCCAGTGACAGTGTGGCTCAGCGCTGTGGTGTCTGCAGACTGGACACAGAATACGTTTGTAAAATTTTGATGTTTTATGAATAAAACTACCTTGAAAGGGAACAAATCAGAGACGCAATGCAATGAATAACTCCCTCAGAGTCTGATAAAACTCAGCCCAAGCATTGTGTTTTCTGCCTGCTGACTGTCTGTCTGTGTATTAACAAACTAAAGAAACTCACTTGTGTTTTCATTCTATAACCATGCTTCTGTTTGGTCATATGGTACCAAGATTCAAAGGCAAAGAAAAGAGGGAAACTTCTCTGTCTCCAGCCATCTGTGATTTATTAAGGACAAACTGTCTGCCTTTGTACAGATTTCTTATTTTTGGTGTTTGGAAAAAAGTTCACATTATTGTTAAAGTTTTGCTGAACTTCAGAGTTTGGATGAAAGTCTCACCGTGTGAACAGAAGAACATGATGATCAGAAAAGTGTTTTTTTAAGGATATGAACAATCAAAATGAATCTGGTTTGTATTACAACATTTTCCTAGTGCACTGCCATAGAATCTAAGCTATTTCTGTTGGGAATATTTTCTGAGATATTTCTTGATCAATAAAAGCTTTTGAGAAAATAAACCCCAATAGATATAAAGTTTCCTCCAGTGTGTTTTCTGCTTAGATTGCTCTAACTACTGTTTACAGTGCCTGTGCTCCATTTAGTTTTCCTGTTAGGTCACTTATTAAGTACAGTAGTGGCAAGTGCAAAAAATGCCAGGCATGATGTTTAATCCTCATCATCTGATAATCAAACAACTGCAGGTAGTTGAGTTGCTGTGAGAACACTTCTTGATAAAAATGAATTGTAGAATATAATGAAAAGTAAGGGTACATAATAAACATGTATGTCAGATTCATGCTCTGAATCTGGATCATGTCCAAGTCATGTCAACGCCTCTGGAAGAAACAACACTACATCATACATAGATCAGCTGCCTGCGTTTACCTTGTACTTTCCACTGGTGGAGTAACTGGTCTTCCACTTTACAGAGTAGTACCGGACCTCAGATGCCTTCTGGTTCTTGGTCATCGAATTGTCAGCCCAGGAGACACGGACTGAGTCCGAGGACAGGGCCACAGCTTGGACCCCCACCGGGGGGATCATAGGAGTGCTGGTGTCTGGCATGGGAGTGGGGTATTTATCAAAGAGATGGAAGAGGTCATCCTCAGATGGGTCTATGGGGTCTGGTTGAGTGAGGATGGGATTTAACAGGAGCCGGGGTGTTTTGGAATAATTAACAAAATCATACATTGTAATAAATGCGTGATAATGAAGGTTTATATATGGGGACATGAGTGATACAAGCATATAGTCAGATTAATATAGGTTATATAAAATTAAATAAAAAAAAAATCAAACAAAATAAATCCATAAGATGACATGCGAATTTTGATGTGTAAATACAGTCATATTTGAAAGGAGGGAAGTAGAAGAGGAGGAGTGGATGGATGTGGAAGTGGAAAACGAAGAGAAAAGAGGAAAGAAAAGACAAAGCATAAGAAAACAGTAAGAAATTTACAGATTTCACTCTAAACAGGAAGTGGAGCCACAGATTCACAGAAGGACAAAGCATAAAGTTTTGTACATCTGAACAAATCTAACATCAGTGTGGATCTGTGGCTCTAGACATTCACAGAACAGATGCTGCCTTCAGGTGCTTTCAGAAGTATTATACATACAAGCATATATACTATACATACAATATATGAGTATTTTAGTAACCTAAGCTGAAAAATAACACAGGAACATTGTGTTAACACTGTGATAGCTGTTCTGTTCTTGCAGATAGAGCGTCTCTGTTAGAGGGACGCATCCATCACTTAGAGCAGCTCCCTTCTCCTAGCAATGCCTTAAATGTGACAGGCACTCCAGTTAGTATTAGCCGCAGGCCTGACAGTGACCCTGTTGACACCAGTACTAGCACAACCCTGTCGGCAGATGATGTGGATTATGCACCCGTCCAGAGGTGCCAAAAACCTCATAAGAACCAGCAACCTGCTGTGTAGCCTGGTTTGCAGTCACTCATCGTGACTGCAAACAGGTTTTCAACCTGTGTTAGCGCTGTTGGTAGTCCTGTTGCTCTGTCTGTTTCCGCCATCTCCACTGATGGCAGGATCCCCACTTGCTTTAAAACTGCTGTGGTTAAACCTCTGCTTAAGAAAGTAAGTAGACCTTGATCCAGAGTCTCTGAATAAGAAACTAGACCTTGATCCAGAGTCTCTGAATAAATATCAACCAGTGTCTAAAAGTCCATTCTTTTCAAAAGTGCGCCATCTCAACAGCTTTCAGCCCACTCACAGTATCTTCTTGAACCTATTCAGTGTTTATCTGCTGTGAAAAGCTGGGCATCACAAAATTTCCTGCTCCTGATCACTGGCCATGCCCAACATGGACTCTCTTTTGATCAGCACGTTACAGACACCACTAAGCTGCCTTTTTCACCTTTGTAACAGAACCTCAAGTCTTTTTTTATCTATGGCAGATGCAGAGACCCTAATTTATGCTTTTGTAGCATCCAGACTTGATTATTTCCACATCTTATTCTCAGGCCTGCCATGCTCTGAGTTTCTCTCCCCTATCCTCTCCGCTCCTCTCCTCTCTCTCCCTGTGCTTCTATATGCCACCATTACACATTACTAACTTTGTGTCTCCTCTCTCCCGTAGTGTGTCCTCTCTCTCTCCCTGTACCTTTCTGCAGGTTGCCCTGCCCCTGGAGCTCTACGTCTCTGACGAGCAGTCACCAGCCACATCGACCTGATCAGTGTTTGATTGTTGTGTCTTGTTGCTTTTCTTCTTTTGTCTCTCCTCTATCCACTCACCCCAACCGGTCGAGGCAGAAGGCCGCCCACCAAGAGCCGGGGTCTGTCGGAGGTTTCTTCCGTTAAAGGGAGTTTTTCCTCCCCACTGTCGCCAAGTGCTTGCTCAGGGGGGATTTGTTGGGTTTTCCCTATGTAATAATATTGATAACAGTAAGGTCTAGACCTTACTTTGTAAAGTGTCCTGAGATGACTTTTGTTGTGATTTGGCGCTATACAAATAAAATTTGATTTGATTTGATTTGATGCTCTAATACTAAAAGCTTTCAGATGATTCAAAATGCTGCAGCTAAAATTATAACTACACCAACAATTTTAGCATCCTTCCATTGGCTTCCTATCCATGTCAGATCAGAATTTAAGGTACTTCTAACAACCTACAAGATTTTAAATGGGCATGACCCTTCATATCTCCCCTGATCTGCTTTAACCCTATTTTTCATCCCAGACTGTCTGCTCTCAGAATGCAGGGCTCCTGTCTGTCCCCAGAGTTAATGAGCAGTCTGCAGGGCCTTAGTAATCTTTACACCATAACATAAAACTAGTGGCATAGTCTTGATTACATCCGGCCTTGTATTTGCTACTATTTTCCCACTGCTGGGTTTCAGTCTCAATGTATCTAGCTATGTACAGTATAGTCCATGTTGTCATGTTGATGGGAGTATTGCAAACCTTTTGAAACCCACTACAAACCCTCTAATCCTGTTTGTTAGTTTCCTCGAACACATGAACATCCAAGCTGTGTGCCTCTCTCTCTCTCTCCTCTCCTGTCATGCATGTTCTATGTGCTGGACCATTGGCCATCGAGGGACCTCTCTCTCTCCTGGGTGTGGGTGCCTGTTCATATGTCTGGATCTGGATCCTCATCCTTCAGGAGTCCCTGCCTCTTATTTGTTCCTCTCCACCTCATTTTGTTCATTTCCTGTTTATTGGTTCAGTCCGTTTGTTCATTTTCTCTCCATAATATGTGTTTGTTTTCCTTCCCCTATATGTGTGAATGATATGTTTGGGTTTTGCCTCTTGTGTGGTTGGGTAGCCTTTTCACCTACCAGGTCTTTGTCTGGATGGAAGGTCATATGGCTCAGTTCTGTTGGAGGCACCTGAAAGCTGGCTTATCCTCCAGGATCATGCTCCTCTTATTTGTTTATACATTCTTCAGATGTCATATGTATTGGCTATACAAATAAGAATTGACCTGACATGAATGTGCAGTATGTGAGATTCAAATTTCACTGAAGTTAGTTTTATTTATTGCCTTATTTAGTTTTACATTTTAATCATGATTTACCTGAGATCTGTCATATATTAGTGATTTATTAATATTATTATTATTTTACTATAAGTATTTTTGTCATTCCAATTATTTTCATTTTATTATATTTTGAATCATAATTTAGTTTATTTGTTAATATTGAACTGCTCCAGTGCATGTGAAAAAAAAATGCTTCTAATATGCAGCACCTGAACGCCTCACAGGATGTATAAATGTGACTTCAGTACCGGGAAGGTTGGGCTGGAGAAGCACCTAAAGGCAGCAGAACATGAAACAGATGCTAACAGAGAGCTGGAATGAGCAGTGAAGAATACAGTTATATAAAATATAAATATAAAACTACTCTGCTGATTCCGCTCTGTGACCTCTGATGCACTGACAGTCAAACCTACCGGAGGCTAAAACACAGTTAGTAAAACAGATAGTGTAGTACAATAAACACACATCAACTCTGAAGTCAATAACACTGTTATTTGGTTCAATGCAAAGGAACTGACATGAATTTCAAGTGAAGTGTTATTTTTGGTTTTCTATATTTAATAAGTAAAACAGCCTGCAGCACAGCAGGCAGAAAAGGCAGAAAAATCTCACTGAGGTTTGTTACTAACTGTCTCACAGTTGGTGCAAACAGTGTTACTGACCAAGATTAAGAAGGTGATTATCATCACGAAGGTGGGAAAAAGGAGAAAGAAATGAAAGAAAAAATTAAATGTGGTTTAACTAATTAACTAAGTAAAATAATAATAAGTAGAATAAAAATTTAAAACTGTAAATCTATGTAAAAAATATAATAAATATAATAAAAATGATAAGCATTAACCTGAAAAGCTTTACAATTTTAATTAAATGCTGCTCCAGTTTTTTGTGTACAAATTTACTATAGTAAAGCCAAGAAAAAAAAAGTTTCATTTCAAAGTGTTTTTATTCTTCTGGTCCTGTTCTTCACTTGTTTCTAGAAAAATGAGAAATAAGACTGGCAGAAAGCGATCTCTGCCTGTCCCTTGGAAACTGTGCTGTGTTTAGTTTATATTTTTTTTAAAAAGGACTCTGGTTTTAACATTTATTTTATCACACATATTTTCCCTTTCTCTCTCTCAGACACATAGATTTTAATGTGACTGGAACAAATTGTTTAAAGCGCTACACTCAAACAGACTGCTCAGCCGCGTCATCCAGCCTTCAAATCCACCCACGCTGTCTGAACTACTGATAGGCCACTGTGGGCTACAGGTACTAATGTGATCTCTTGGTTAACACAGTATTATGCAAAGGATTTAGGCATTTTAGATATTTAGATTCTTATCCATGACACATTACACATCACACTATTAGGGAGGCAACTGATTGGTCCCAGATTCACTCTGCATTATGACAGTGAGCCCAAACCTATACAGTCAGAGTCATAAAGTACTCTCTCGAGACACAAGAAGAACAAAGAGTCCTGCAACAGACAATATATCATCTACACAGCTCTGATCTCAACATCAGTCAGCAACTGAGACAGGCAAAAACCACAGAAGACCTGTGCCAAATTCTTTAACATGCATGAAACATCCTACTTGCCAAGTACCTTGAAAACCTGAGTGCAACTGTACATAGCTGCTGTTTTAAAGCACCCTCACTTTGTGTCTCAAATCGTTGCACAGTAGAGTAAGTTAGATTTATTATTTACACCAATCAGCCATAACATTATGACCACTGACAGGTGACATGAACAACACTGATTCACAGTGGCACCTGTCAGTGTGTGGGGTATGCTAAGCAGCAACTGACCATTCAGTTCTCGAAGTTGATGTGTTGGAAGCAGGAAAAACAGACATCAGAGCATGTCCACGACCGACGGTGTTGTTGGGTCTGCAGTGGTTAGTACCTACCAAAGTATCTAAGGAAGGACAAATGGTGAACTGGCAACACGGTCAAGGCTCACTGATGATGAGGTTGACCTACTGTAGATTAAACTTTTAAACTTCATTTGCAATTTTCAAAAAGATTCAAATGAGTTTGAACCTTTATTAAAATTGGTGAAAATGAAAAATGCTGTTCATCGGCTATTGTGGTGATTTCACACCTAGAGTGGGGAGGCTGTTGAATTTGT